TTCAGATAGACAGAAAGGCTTGCTTGATGCTGTTGGTCAAATCAAAGGGGCAGAACGCAGGTACTGCTTGAAGCACATTTACAACAATTTCAAGCAGAAATGGGGGGATTTGGAATTAAAAAAGTGGTTTTGGAAGGCAGCCAGCACATACAATGTGAGAGAACACACTAGGTGTATGAAAGAAATCCACAGACTTGTCCCAAAGAAAGATGGAAAGGTGACTCCATTTGAGTGGCTTAAGGCTATCCCTGAAGATCACTGGGCAAGATGTTTCTTCACTTCCAATGCACTGTGTGATGTTATTGTGAATAATCTGTCAGAGTCCTTCAACAATTACATCTTGGAAGCTAGAGATATGCCTATCATAGACATGTTTGAGTGGATAAGGAGAAGAATGATGGCAAGAATGCAGGTCAAGAGAGTTGGGATTGAAAAATATGCAGAGGATATATGTCCAAACACAATTAGAAAAATTGAAGAACAAAAGAGCTTCAGCAGAAACTGTTACCCAACTTGGGGTGGAGAAGATAAGTATGAGGTGGTGCATGGGGTTCAGAGTCATGTTGTGCAATTGAATGCTAGAAGTTGCACCTATGGGATGTTTCAGTTGGTTGGGTATCCTTGTTGCCATGCATTGGCATGCATCTCATATCACAGGTTTAATCTTTCTGACTATGTGTCTGATTATTTCAAAAAAGAAATGTATGTGAAGGTGTATAGCCATATGATCAACCCTGTTCCTGGGATGAATGACTTTGAGGAGTCTGGAATGGGCCCAATTCAGCCACCTGATCCTATGAAAAAAAGAGGTAGGCCAACCAAGAAAAGGAGGGCTGATGGTAATGATAAGAAGGCTATGGGAGGAAGTGTGAGCAGAAAAGGGTCAGCTTAAGATATGCAAATTGTGTGGGGGTAAAAATCACAATAAAAGGAGTTGCATCAAACGGGCTAGGGAAAATTCTGGTGCTTCTGGACAGGTATATTCTTATTTTCATCATGTTATGCATTAGATTTCATAAAATGTAATGTTAATTGGTTTTGTACATCCATGACAAATTTGCAGCAATCTCAGCCTGCTGGTCCATGTCCATCTCAACCTACTGATCCATCTCAGCCTACTGGACCTGTTGAAGGCTTTTTCCACAACACTGGCCCTCAAAGATCTACTCAGTAAGGCATGTACTGCTTGTTTTGAAATGGCCTTTCATTGCTTGTTTCTTTTTTTTTTGGTTTTGCTGGAATGAACCAATATTTTGTTTCTTAGCCATGGTGGTTAGTTGTTTTGTTTAAGTTGGATGTGGTATGTATGTTGGAACAATTTGACCAGTCTTAGCTATGGTGGTTAGTTCTTTTGTTTAAGTTGGATGTGGGTACAATTTGACCAATATTTTGGATATGATATAAGGATTTGGTTGGTTGTTTTGCTATATGTTTGTTTATTTCTGTTTTGGCCTATGTGTTTTGGCATATGTTGTAGTTCATGCATTCATTTAATCTTGAATTTCATTTAAAATAGAGGCTTACACTATCAAACATTGCATTCTACAATTACTTGAGAATGATAACAGCTACAAGGATTACAATAACAAAAAAA